ATATTTTCCTTGAGATTATAAATCATTTCTGAATATAAATAAATCGGAAATTCTCATTTTTAACTTGACCGTTAAAATAATAATAATAATAATAATAATAATAAATAAAAAAAAATATAAACCATCTCTCTCTTCTTTTTTTTTAACAAAATCATCCCCTTTTTTTTTAACAATAAATTGCTTCAGCAAGGAGCAAAGAAAGAAAACCAAAATTTCCAACATATGTTTCAAATAATGATAGGTAGCATGAGATAGATAAGCATGAGCCAACATCCATGTAGAACATGTCATTTAAAACATGAGTAATAAAGGCCTTTGATAACTCATTCTAACATGCATTTCGAGAGGAGCAAATCTCATCTCAAAACCACTAAGAGCCAGGTTCCATAAAATTTTAGAACCCAAAATTTATATCCTGCATATGCTTCGATTTGGGACAGGTAACAGGAAACTGATAAAACCAATTTGGTCCTTAAAACCAACCTCCCAAAGCATCAAAATGAATTATAGCATATATTTGAACTGAAGTATCAAAGAATTTCAGCATGAGTTCGTCCCAAAAGAGCCAAACCGAACATATTAAATAAGCTAAGTAAAATGCAATTTCCAGCATGTATTTTAGCAAAGAGGGGTAGGAAGAGAAGCATAGAATGAGCCCCAAACATGCTTTCTTTTCACCGAATCTAACATATATAATTTCAAAATAAACTAAGACATGCTTCCATATTCCATGCCATCCAAAATAGTGTAACAAAGAGGATAGGAGGAGAATACCTTTTCTTTATGCGAACCTAAAGCAAAGAAAGACTAAAGTAGATTTGAGAAAACCACTCCAACAGCAGTCTACAAATACTCTTCACGATTTCCAGCTCACGGTTCGACAAATCCAAGCCTCAAGACCCTCGAACAGCAGAGGGGAAGAAGATCTCCTCCCCAACAGAAAGAGGTAACTCTCTTAACAACGAAGAATAGGGGCAGAAAAATACCAAATCTCTCTAAAATCTCCCCTTTCTCAAAAACTCTCTATTTTCTCTCTCAAAATTTTCAACAACCCTCAGGCCGCAGAGGATGAAAAGAACAAGTAAGATTGAAATTAGAGAAGATTTTGGTAGCACCTCCCCACTCTCAGAAAATTTCGGCCAACCTTAGATTTTCCCCCAAATGGGGTTTTATAAGCATTAGAGGAGGAGATCAGCCACCTACCGGCCACTACCAGCCACCCTAGTAAGTACCGGCCACCCTAGTAAGCAAATCGTGTGAGGGGAGAAGAGGAAAAAGATTTAAGGCAAGAGGAAATGCAGCCTAGGGCAGAGCGACGGTCGGCCAGGTGGAGTTCCATCGTTGGAGGGCTGCTCGGTCGAGAGGAACTCGAGGAGACGAACCGCGTGCTCAATCAGCAGCGGAATGTCGCGTGCGCGAATGGACTGCGATCGCTGGAGAAGAAGATCTCCGCGTGGTGGATCTGTCGTGGAGCTAGAGCACGAGCAAGGAGAACTCGCGGGATCGAGCCGCTCGAACGGGGATTTTAGACGTGCGGGAGGAGCCGGA